TTCTTAAAGAACCCGTTCATCATCATAAGGTTGTCAGTCCTAAGACTGGTTGGACAAGCATCTCCACTCTTTCCTATCCTGAGCCAATCTTCGCATTTCCTTAAAACCAGAACAACCCACATCCTTAACTATTTCCGAACAGTAATCTGATCTAGGTCTACTTCTACCCTTCCTAACTTCCATTATTGTCTCTAATGTGTATCTTATTCCCGAAGAGGTTTCCTACCAACCTATCTCGTCTATTTCTTACTGACTTCCATAGAGTCCTCTGTTCTACTATTCTTTCTAATACTTCTAATCATTCTCCTGTAACACAACATTTCGAACGCTTTTAACCTTTTTTTTCCGAATCGCCCATTGTTCATATTTCGCACCCGTACAGCGACGCTCTCCAAACATACAACTTTAACAATCATTTTCGAATTTGTAAATTAATCGTTCGCGAGCATAAAAGTGACTTCTTTTTATTGAAGGCGACTCGACCCTGCGCTATCCTCTGCTTTATATATCCCTACTACTCCTTCCGTACTGAATTATCTGACTTCCTAGATACCTAAAATCGGTCACTTCTTCTAATGTGTCTCCTATCATTACTTTCACTCTTTTCCTACTTTTTCTTCTCTTGCATACCAATTTCTTTTTTTCAATTTCCCTACTTGCCTCATTGTTCTAACATTCCTCACTCCGACTCGTGAAATATTGCACCTACCCCTATTCCACTTATTGTTGACATTTCCCCAGGTAGTCCCCGCCCTGACAAAGCGAAATTTAATATGTTAATAATAATAAACAATTGTGGAACTATTTCAAGCGTTATAACTTTTAAATAACTTTGAAATGTTTCAGCAAGAATTAACGACGTTGTCACTTCTAATATATTTTAATCAAATTTATAATTGAAATGTTTCGGAATGGGATAGAACAAAATCTTCGTTAATTCTATTCAAACAACAATTTGTTTCTCGACAGGTTAGACGTGAATTAGCATAAACGTTAAGTTATTCGCCGTCATCTCGTCTGGGAAACAAGACGTGATTCTGATTGCAAGTAAAATATTTTGAATGTCATTTACGTTTATTTAAAATTGCCTCCCCCATGAATATATACGTATATACATACAAATATATATATATATCACGTCAAACATGTAAAATAGACATTGCCGCTTGCTGTAACGTCGGGATCGAAAATAAAATAAACGCTTCAATTTCCATTTTAATTTCCTCTTGATTCGTGGGCTTCAGTTGGAATGATTTAATCTTGGCAAAAATTAAATTCAGTTTCGGTTTGCGCTTATGCGCCGCGGCGCAGTCAGCGACTGACTGCCGCGAGCCGGTTAATTGCGATTGCAGATTATAAAAATCGATCGGATTATGGATAAAAAAAATACGCGCACTTTTGCTATAATAGACATTCGGTTTTTGCATCGATTGAAAAATAATTAACTGGGTGGGATATTTTGTTAGTTATGGAAGTTGTTGACCTGGTACATCAACGTTTCTCACTCCTCTACGGTCCGCATTGAATTACGAACAAAATAAACTGCGAAACTTCGATCCAGGTGGGCTATGTTTATTAGTAAATAGTAAACAATGTAAGTACCCATGCTGTTCGTTTCAAGAAGTTAGAGATATGCCCCTTCCCTTTATTAGCATGTGCCGTAGCATAATTTCAAATCAATTATATTTGTCTCCGGAGCTCATTTCTCCACCGATCATTGAGCGAGAACTAGACAAAAGTGTACAGTACCATTTGTAAAATTATTTAAACTGACTCGTTAAAATTTAAGAATATGCTTTATTTAAAAGCATATTTAGCCAAAATTAATAACAAGTGAATTAACTTAACGCTCTACAAACCTATAAAGCTTTTGCTTTGTTTTCTATTGTTAATTTATATACATTTTTGTTTTAAGAAATTGCTAAACATTTTCATCTAGTACTGTACAATTCTAGCCGATCTCCTAAGACCGCCTATCGGGAGCTCTGCTCGTTCAAGCTTGTTCCAACTATTCCTGTCTTGCTCACGCCTAGTGTGTATTCTTTCTATCTTCGCGCAAATATCTTCAAGGTCACAATTCCAACAAATTGAAATAGACTGTACATATGTATGTCCCAGTCGTTCTAGCAAACCTGGCCGCACGACATGGTCTAGAGTCTAGAGGTCCTGATCAGGAATAATAAGGTCGGATTCTAAAACAGAGCATTAAAAATGAGTAGCTATAATAACACGTGCTAGGTTAATTGTTTTTTTTCTGTGATTTTAGTACCAAATGATAACCTATAGATAATGTCAAACCATAACCTATTTGTAATTTCCGTTAACAGTTTTTTTAAAAATCAAATGTCTGCAATTGACACTGTCCGAAACTATCGTATAATCTGAAATAATTTAAGTCCGTAGCCATATCCGAAACGATACAATATTATTCACATATTCACAAACAAATCTTAATAGTCCGAACAAGTTCAAACAGCGCAGGCGTGGCAACGTCACTCGCCCGCGAAGCGGCTGCTGGAGACATGCAAAATCTTACATTTCGTCGGTTTTACGAAGCGATTACGTCAACAGCTACGGAATATCGCCAAAACGTAAATATATTACATCTTACAATTTTTTCATTTTCCAGATTTGTTTAAAAAATAAAGTCTATAAATAGGTTTAAAATAACAGACGACTGCTCTTTGATAATCCCAACAATCCTTTGGGGTTATATTATACTTAACTTGGTATGGCGTCATTCATCTTAATACTGTTGTAATCACGTGTAGTGGTTGCTGTTTTGTATCAAATATAGGAAAAATTCAGTTGAGCTAGCTACTAAAAAATACTGGGCTGCTCAGCCATTATCTGTAGGAACATATTTTTTTAACACTCATTCGAGTAAGATAATTATTATTGGTATCTTCATGTTTGATGTCGATGCGTTATCGAAAATGAAGTAAACTTTTCAATTTCCATATTAATTTCCGCTTTATTCGTGTTTCGACTTTGATGTACCGCTTAATAAAAATTCCTGGCTCTTTTTGCGATTGCGGCTCTCCCGTCGGTTGGGAGGCGTTTATAAATCACGTAATTGCAATTGCAAATGAGAAAAATCGATCCTATTGGAACCGAATAGGTAGGCGACTTATTATACACGGCGATTTGCATCCAATTTTAATAAAAGAATGATTAACGTGAATCGGCGATGGATAGGTATTGATGCATAATTGACTATAACCATCCGTCTGCTACAAAAATCAGTATACTATTATTGAAAATATGTACTTATCTAATACGATAAAAATACGTACACAGCTAGCTATGCAAGAGCCGCGAGTAATCGATATATTGATTTCTTCACATGCATAATACTTGTTCTTAACAATGCAGTGGTCACCATCTTCAATTATTATTGGCGCATTATTCTTGTGGCTTGCACGTGAAAATAAAATCGTAACAGGCATTCACAATGGTATAGGTCCTAACAGAACCCTAAGAAGGATACAACTTCTAGAAGATAAATTTGTCGTTAATTAAGGCTGTAGGTTTTGTAATTGTTAAGGAATTTACGAAAATAGAAGCATTGCATCGTAATTTAATGAGTATTTACTTAAGTGTATCGGTCCTTAGGCCTTTTTCTGAATTTTGAGACTATCTAATATGATCTGACCAAGAACACTAATTGTTCGTAGAATCAGCACATTGCTAGCAAATTTTTAATATTGCTGCTAACAGGACAGGGTTCAGAACTTGCTTGCTGAGATAGTAACAGATATACGAGATATGTTCAAAAGGTATCGCGGATTTCGAATTTCCGCTGGTTACGTATATTCGATTTTCGAATTTTTTGTGGTGTTATGTTGGTACTCATGTCTCTCACTTACACGGACAAGTTGAACGTCATTTTTTGACGGCTGCCACGTTTGCGCCTGTTTTAACTCGTCTTCGATTTTCGACTACTCTAGAAAACAGATTAAAGAAAAACAAAAGTAAGTATGCAGACGCATTCCGAATATTCACCGGGGTATATAGTGAAGCTACCTTGGACCGCAGCAACTTTTATCGATGGTACAAAGTGTTCTCAGAGGGCCGAGAAGATGTGAACGACGAAAAGCGTGCCGTACGCCCGAGAACGTCAAGAACAGACGAAAACGTTGATGAAATCAAAATGGTATTGGCCAATCGTCGAATCACCGCTAGAGAACTTGCTAAGGACCTAAACATATCGATTGACTCCTGATGATTTGAGCATGAAACGGGTCATCGCGAAATTCGTATCAAAATTGATCAATTTCGACCAAAAACAGCATCGCGTTAACATTGCTAAGGAACTGTTGGACTATGTTTGCGACGACCCAAATTTTCTTCAGAGGGTCATAACTGGTGGCGAATCATGAGTTTATGCTTATGACGTAGATACCAAAGCTCAATTATCCCAATGGAAGCTGCCCCACGAACCAAGACCGAAAAAAAGCGCGCCAAGTTAGGTCAAATGTCAATATTTTGCTTAGTTTTCTTCGATGTGATGCATCATGAGTTCATAAGGAATATTACCTGCAACTTATGACAATTTGCGCGAAGCAATTTGCTAGAAACGCCCGGATTTGTGAAAGAATGAAAATTGGCTTTTGCACTGTGATAACGCCCTTGTCCACATATCGTTGCTTGTGCGCGAATTTTTGACCAAAAACAGCACACTTATAATGGCGCAGCCACCGTATTCCCCATATTTGTCCGACTGTGTCTTTTTCTTGTTCCCGAAACTGAAAAAGCCCATTGAAGGACGACGCTACGCTATGATTGCGGAAAAAAAGACGGCATCGAAGGAGGAGCCGAACAAGATCACAAAAACTGATTTTTGAAGTGCTTCAAGGACTGGAAAAAACGTTGCCATAACTGTATAATGTCTGGAGGCGATTACTTCGATGGGGACAAAATAGATATTCATGAATTAATAAATAATTTTTGAGAAAATAAAATTTGCGATAGAGTAGTTTAATTGTAAATTATAGGCACAAATTATATTACATTCATACATAAATATATACAAATACACAGTCGTAGTAGTTTCATAAAAAAAATTCGGGAAGCTTATCAGTTTATTTAGAAGTAGGCGTAACCATAAGGTGCCGCCAGTCTTGCCGGCGCAACCACGGGCGCAGCTCGTGCAAGTGGTGCCGCCGGGGCTACTACTGGCGCAGGGGCAACTCTAGCTGCAGCAACTACGGGCGCAGGGGCTACAACTGGTGCCGCTGGGATAGCCCTAGCCAATGGTAGTTTGCTTACGACCGCGTTAAATCCATTAACTGGATCTGCTACATAGTCAACTTGACGCCGAGTACCATCGGGTTCCACCACAGAGTATTGACCTTGAACGACACCTCCGTTCCTGGTCTCTACTTGGCTTTTGAAATCACCGGAGATAACGTCTTTGACATCGTAAGCAAACGAATATTGGGGGTAGGGGTCGACTTCGGACACAGCTAATGGGGCTGGTGCTACTGCTAAGGGAGCTGGGGCTACTGCTAGTGGAGCACTTGCGTAGGTTGATGCTGCCAAAGCTGCCAATACTGTTATCACCTTAAAAAACAATACGAAATTTTAATGCAACCTTTATTGTGTGATTTTTTGATAAACAATTTTACTGTGGTACTTAGAAATGAACTTTTGTTTCAAAATATTATCGGTAACCGAAAGAGAGAGATATTGTAATCGAATAATTTATTTTTTAGGGTCAATTTTCTGGGTTAAAAAATTCCGAAGCCGGAGAAAAATTGATAAATTGAATTTATATTTCTTATGTGGGTTATTTACGAGGTCAGATAAAAAATTTATTTCTTTCTCGGTTAATTTAAAAGCGATCCAAACGGTTGGACAGAAACGGTATCGCTAATATTTTATGATCTCTCGAGTTTGAAAAGCGTTTTCTCGGATTTCCCGATTATGCGGTCCCGAACGCGGTTTTTCAAAACTTTTACATAAAAAGATCCGCGAAAATCCTTTTATATGTCGGAAAATAAATCCACGGAAATTCGGACGGCAGCGAACTTCCTCGTTTGCATTCCGTGCGTCTCCCGACGTCGCAGGAAATTTAAAATTCCAACGGCGAACACCAGCAAAGAGCTTTCACTAATTCTCGCCGTAGTACTAAACGCATTCCTCCATATCCCCGGACTAACTGAATGATTAACAACAATAAGACACTGTCCACTAACAAAAACAAATAACGAACAGACGGCACCTTCAACTGTTACGAAGCTCTATATTCTACATACCTTGGACACCATTCTAACGACAGTTATGTGTTTTGTTTTGCTTCCGTTACGAGAACAAAAAACGACTGATAACAATGTGTCCGAGCGACGGCCATTTATACCTGCTCCAGTTGTTTCATAACCTCTTCATGGCCCACTGCTACATTTTACCTAGACGTCTTGTGTATGTTAATTTGTCCACGGTAGCTCATCGCATATGCAGTCTGGTGTCTGCTGTACGTGCCGAAACACGTTAACTAAGGTCTAACGCAACGCTCGGGGCCTTTTTCGTCACTTTTGGACTGGTTTCAACACAAGTTAATCCTTTCGTAAACTTGCACGGGTAACATGGAAAATCCGTATGAAGTTTACCGAAAAGGCGTTAATCAACAAAGTTTTCACGAAAATTTGGTAATGTACCTGTAGGGGAGACTGGGGCTGGTCGTGATATTTTTTTTTTAAAGTGTCGTAATTTTTTGTTTGTTTGATTGTTTTACTGGAATGTAGGTTTGTTTGATTAAGTAACTATTTGGGTTATTAATTTAAAAACAATTTTAGATTCCAGACTATTAGAAGTGACATAAATGAATAAATTCTGGGAAAAGAGACGTGCAACTTTTAGCCCCGTGCCAGGGGCTGGTTGTTACACTATAAGGGACAAAATGTCAAACTACAATGTCTGTATAGCAGTCTTTTGCCCCATTATAACAAAAACATATTAACTTCGTTGAACAAAATTATAATCCTATTTTTTGGTCTTACGCCTCATAAAAATAAAATTTAGGTAACTTCCAAACCACACACTGTACCCATTCCTCACCAGTTCGACTCTGATCAAACGGTTCACAATATATCAGGCAAAAATAATCATCTGTACTTCCTTCGTTAGACTCAGTCATGTAAAACCTTCCTTTTTACAGCCTTCTTCCTTGTTTCCTTAGGTGTTTTTTCTCTCTTCATCTTTACTGGCTCAGTGGACTTTCCTTTCTTAGTTACCTTTTCGTAATTTCTTCTTTCTTGTTCTGTTCCTGTGCAGCACTACGGGGCAGGTAGTAACAAATAACAACCTGCCCCGAGAAAAAATCACTTTTAGCCCCAATGCCAAAACTGACCCTTCAAGGTTAAGTATTAAACCCGCAAATAAGTATAACTGTATAAACGTCGATTCTTTGCAAAAATAAACGATTAGGGTATAAATATAACTACACACGCATATCTGCTTTAAAGGAAAAGCTACAAAAGCTACAAAACGGAATATTTATAATTCATTTGTTCTAAGATCTTTAAGATCTAATGTTATAGAAAGAATTTATAGCGTAAACAGAGATATAAAAAAATAATAATAGCTTCTACCATTTACACATGGAAAATGGTTTATTTGCACATTCAAATGATTGGTTTTAACATTAGCATTACCAACATTAAAATAGATTATTTGCACTTTGAAAATTGATGGTTTGGGTAATAAAATAATTGGGTTTAATTTTAACATGTTGCAAACATTAAAATATAATAGATTGTCTAAATATTGATACAAGTAGTTACTACTTGGTTAAATATACATATTGTTACATGTGTATGAACAAACTAGTCACAGATGAGGGTTCGGTACCGGACCCTCCTTTTTCGTAGCCAGAAAACTTAAATCCAACATTTACAGACCTTTTACCTAGTAGAATTTATCAATTTTTATAGCGATATATCTTATTTGAAAATTACGACATAAAATGGTCGTAAAAATAAAAAATTTTCAAAAATTTGTGTCTTGACTCGAGAATAAGAGTAGAAATTTTTGTGAACCCCTTCCTTGTGAAAATCGTAGATCCTCAGGATAAGGAATATTTAATAAACTTAAAAGAAGTGTTTATCCAGTAGTATCTATATATTTTTACTAAAAACAGCAAAAGTTTTGTTATTAACTATTAAATTAATGAAGTTAATTGTTGGTGTCACATAGAGTTTCCAACCGTACGATAATATATATATTCATTTTAAAAATTTATGAACGCGCCCTTATAATGAATGAAATTAATGAAAACGGTGAAGTTCAATTCTTTATTTTTATAAATAGTTTGTTTTTTGGTGAAAGCAATTGGTTATTATCATCGTAAGGTCGTTAGTCCTAAGACTGGTTGGACACGTACCTCCACTATTTCCAATCCTCAGCTAAGCTTCGCATTTCCGTAAAACTAGAAGAACCCACATTCTTAACTATTTGCGAACAGTAATCTAATCTAGGTCTACCTCTACCCCTTCTAACTCCTGCTTCTGCCTCTAATATGTCTCTGACTAGACCTTCATGTCTGAGAAGGTGTCCTACCAACCTATCTCGCCTATGTTTTATTGACTTCCATAGAGTCCTCTGTTCCCCTATTCTTTCTAATATCTCTTAATTTCTAAACTTTTCTACCCACGTTATCCACGTTTTCCATGTTTCGCACCCGTACAACACCGCGCTCCAAACATACACCTTTAACAATCTTTTTTGAATTTCTAAATTAATCGTTCGCGAGCATAGAAGTGACACGACCCTGCGCTACCCTCTGCTTTATATTCCTACTACTCCTTCCGTCCTGACTTATCTGACTTCCTCATCATCATCATAATGTCATCAGTCCTAAGACTGGTTGGACACGTACCTCCACTCTTTCCTATCCTGAGTAAACTTCGCATTTCCCTAAAACTAGAACAACCCACATCCTTAACTATTTGCGAAGAGTAATCTAATCTAGGTCTACCTCTACCCCTCCTAACTCCTGTTTCTGCCTCTAATATGTCTCTGACTAGACCTTCATGCCTGAGAAGGTGTCCTACCAACCTATCTCGCCTATTTTTTATTGACTTCCATAGAGTCCTCTGTTCTCCTATTCTTTCCAATACCTCTTCATTTCTAACCTTTTCTACCCACGATATCCTCATCATCCGCCTATAACACCACATTTCGAACGCTTCTAACCTTTTCTTTTCCGCTGCTCCCACTGTCCATGTTCCGCACCCGTACAACGCCGTGCTCCAAACATACACCTTTAACAACCTTTTTCGAATTAATAAATTAACTGTTCGCGAGCATAGAAGTGACTTCTTTTTATTAAAGGCGACACGACCCTGCGCTATCCTCTGGTTTATATCCCTATTACTCCTTCCGTCTTGACTTATTTGAGTTCCTAGATATCTAAAATCAGCCACTTCTTTTAATTTTTCGTCTCCTATCTTTATATTCGCTCTTTCCCTCCTTTTTCTTCCCTTGCATACCAGTATTTTAGTTTTACTTTTATTTATTTTCATACAGTACCTTAACCTTAAGTGTTAATCAAATCTAAAAAGTCTAATTTTCGTTGATTTGTTACCATTGTCGCCACAGCTTTAGAAAAACTATTTATTTCATAGAGCACCTTGTCGTAGGGCGAGATATAAAATAAATCGTTTTACTTCGCACAATTTTTAGAGAAGTGTAATACTTCTCCTGGGAAAGCTACTAAGTCAGGCTAAGCAAAATGTGCTTCTGCTTTACGAGCCGTAAGTCTGGGGTTGTTTATTCGAAAAGTATGGAAATAATTTACTAGAGAAGGCACAACGGGATGACTGCCTTCATTAAGCTCTCTAGTCTGGAAGACAAATCATCGAATCAATTTTCTTTATTGTACAAGGGACTCAGTCAGTGCCTGACGAGACAGTGTACTTATACATATACATTGCGCAAATATATACGTATATGCACAGTGGCGACGCACTGTCCAGTCTGAAGTTGGGACCATAATAATGGAAAAACGTAGCAACGCATTTTAGGAAATGGCTTAGAAACGTTAAGATGCGTAGGGGGATAATAGGGAGCTTACATACATATAAGGAAAAACTCTCCCATAAGAAACGCAGTACCTATTACATTAATAATGTGTTTCATTTATAGGGGATTTCTCTGCCTCTGTTTATGCAGATATAGAAGACATGTTAAGTTTAGTGAAAGGGCAGGAAAACCTAATAATTGTAGGAGACTCAACGCAATAATAGGTGAAGGTAAAGTGGGTGCAATAGCAGGTTCTTTTGGATTAGGCAATAGAAATGATAGAGTAGATGGGCTGATAGAATTTTGCGATAAACATAACTTAACCGTCGCGAATACTTTATTCAACCATCACGTTTGGAGGTGCTGTACGTGGAAGATACCAGGTGATTTAGGGAGATATCAGTTAGATTACATACTTGTTAGGCAAAGATTTAAAAATCAAGTGAAGGACTGTATGAGTTATCCAGGAGCAGATGTACACAGGGATCAAAACTTAGTAATTATGAAGACCAATCTTAAATTGAAAATTCAGAAAAAGAGGGAAGGTAGAAGACGTCTTGGTATAGAAAAGCTAAAATGTAACGAAACGCGTGAAAGGCTAGGTAAAAGGACAGACGAGATACTAAAGGCGGCGGGAGAAACGAATGACAGGGATATAAAGACAGAATGGAACTGCATTAAAAAGTCAACACCTACAGATATACTAAGTCTTAAACAAAACGAAAATAGGAAACCCTGGATAACAAATGAGATTTTAGGATTAATAGAAGAAAGACGGAAATACCAAAAATAGTCGAAGAAGGGCAAAAAAGATATAAGGCTATAAAGTGGGAAATAATTAGGAAGTGTAGGGTAGCTAAGGAACAGTGGAGTGATAGGATGTGTAAAGAAGTAGAAGAAAGAAAATACCACAAATGGCGTGGTGACCGCCATCTGTAGTACGATTCTACATTTTAGGATTACGTATGCTCCAGCAAGGTCCATTTAAATATATGGATATCTACTTGCTGAAACGAATCCCGGCGTAGCTCACCTCAACGTGATAGGCACGTTACCATAATCGAATAAAATAATTCGAANTTTGTGGTATTTTCTAAAACGCGCTGTTAAGACAGCTGGTAAAGGTTGGTCTGTGTTCTGTCGGAACCGCCGGCGACGCGCTGATGCGATCCAAAAAGATCGAAATCGCGATCCGCGTCTGGCAGTTTCGACAGAATACAGACCACTTCGAATCATTTTAATCCATAACTTGATGAGAAAAACGCACTTGTTTTAAAGACGTTTTTCTCGTATTTCACAGCAGTATTTCACCACGCTGTGATTTTATCAACTAATCT